AATCCCGAGTACAGTGTCTGTTATAAATTGTTTTTTGTTAATGAGTTAACAAGAGGAAGAGGTCCATAATATACTCAGTTTGCTCAGCAAATAATTATTAGGGGTAGGTCAATAGTTTAATAAGTACAGAATGGCAAGGGCGCCACTGAACTTAAAAAATAAGTAATTAAATTATATAAAAATTGTGAAAATTCAGAAACACACCTAAAAAAAATAACCAGCAATCAAACGGTAATTGATAATTCTGAAAAGGAAATAAATAAGGCATATAACTAAACCAAATCCTGACATAGGTAATATGTACCAATAAAACACTGAAGCAATTACCAATCAAAATAGCATATTTTCACAGTGGAACCGAAAACATCAAGAAAATAAACCAATAAAATTATTAGAAAAAAAAAAGTTTTGCCAATACCTAGGTACGCTATTGTGCTGACGCTCAGTCTCTAACCGATAGAATTTTGCCTCTGAATAATCACGCCTATCCACATCCATCATTTCGCAATGTTGCCGTTTTTTTTTCTATTTCAAAATAGTACACATGCCCATATAGCAAAAAAAAAATGTCACCAACTTGTTTATTATTGTTTCCGTCAAGTTTGGCAGGGCAACAAATTCTATTGCCGATCGCCGTTTGGATAGCCAGACTATACTTGTCAGCACTAAATTGATTCATATTTGGTGTATGATGGCCCCAAGGTTTGTCCAAAATTTAGAAATTATTTCATAGGAGGCTCTCGAGTTTTGACGTAAAGTGATCATTCTCAGTATTTCTCAGTCCCCGACTCAAAGTAATTCCCGTCACGATTTTACAAATTGAGGGCGATTTTACATGGAGAAGCGCTTCCTGAGTTATTTGAACGAGGAAAACTGATAGAGCTTTTGCTTACCCCAATTTAAGAGTCTGAACTGCGATTCCGCACAGGGATTCCAAAATATTATGGTAAAAAGACTGTATGACTTTAGATTTATAAATTCAGTAATTAGGTTACCCAGTGGAATTAAAATACATCAATTAATGACATTCACTATGTTACAGCTTATCCTAGAAAATTATGGTGGTATCTTACTATCATTTGAAATATTGCCATGTTTATTCTAAAATTATCGTATCTGAAACTGTTCACCGAACTTATCGGGTCTTCAAAAAAAAAAAAAAACAATCAAAGATTGCTTTGATTACGAAAATGTACGTCGCATTATTGTTTCTTTATTGGTCAGGATACATAGTTTTAAGAAATCATAGCAATCTTTGATTGGGTTTTTTTTTTGAACACCCGATGCCTTTAAAATGTTAAACGTGCTGAATGGGCGGAAGGAATCTCCCCTGAATGTGTATTTTTCTGCCAAATAATGCTAACCTGTTTTTTTAGTAGGCAAATTCCACTATTATTCAATACAAAAATGCAATATCAGGAAGCAAAAGAAGAAGTTCAAAGGCAAACGCGAGCATTAAAAAATCAATGGTGGATGGGAAAATCAAACGAAATTCAGCAACTGGCTGAATCCAACAACACCTCTGGGCCTTCTCTCAGGCTACTAAGATGGTATAAATAAGGACCAACCAATCAAGGACTCAATCCCCTACGATCCAAAGATGGCACAAGACTGCTTAAAGACAATTAAGACCGTTAATTTTTGTTGGAAGGAACACTTTCTCTTATTTAACTTTGTCCGACAATCGACATCGTAACTGGTCCAAGTCCCTCTATTTCCCTTCTTTTGGCAAAGGAGACGATTGTCGATTTGGTGGCACTGATTGTCAACCCTACAATCTCTGTCCACCTAGAGACTATTGTTAGAGCCTGTTGTATGCGATCTATAACTGTATGAATAAATTTTCCCATCATGACATTATGACCAAATCACCTGCATATCTCAATACTTGATACTTCTTGATCTTTAGTAGCTCTATCAGCTAGTCCATCACCAGATTCCACAGCAGGGGTGATAACACTCCGCCTTGCGGATATCCCTTTACAACCCGAGCACGAGGATCGTGGAGTGAATGACTCTACATCGAAGCATGCAGTCTATCCATCTGCAGCATGTATTATCAATACCTTGGCGGCCTAGAGCTCTCAAGATTGCCTAATAACATAAACATCTTAATAAGCTCTCATTTTCTCCTCCCAGCAATTGTTTTCATTAGAAATTATTACTTTTGAACATCTAGTACAACCAATCTCGAAACTGAACGTCGAAATATTATACTATTGATACATTTCACGTCAACAATTCTTATGTTTCCATTTCTGGCAGGATGAATGTTAACAATTCTTCCTTTTCTCCATATGTTTCTGGGTCCATTGGGGTCTATCATTAAAATAATATCATTCAACTTTATAGGTTTCTTTTCGTGAAACCATTTGGTACTTCTCAATAAACTAAGGCAGCATCTCTTTAACTATCTGGTCCAAAATATATCGGTTAATTTTTGAGGCTTCTCGTCAATGTTTCATTGAGGTAAGTCCATGATCCTGAAGTTTCGTGCAAGCTAGCGCAGCATAGTCAGGGCTAATCAGAAAATGATTGGGGGTCAAAGCTTGAGAGTCATCTCATCAAAGTCTAGAAACACACGAGTCAGAGGCCGAGAATTTTAAATATTTCCAACTTCAACTAGAAAAGTTCGTGAAATAATGTTCTGGGGGTACCTTGAAGTTAATAATCCCTTAAGAATATTTTTCATTCTTCTTGTAGCAGCGCTACTTTGGTTTTCCGGACGGTTAAGAAGTTTTCGGAAAACTCGGGCGCCACCCTTAGGATTATAGTGGTTAAGGGCCCATGTACTCCAGGTAGCTTTCAACAGTGGAGACGGAAAACCAGAGGTCCATATGCTCATCCTCAAAATGAAACACAGTAATGTAACCAACAAATTAAGTTTATTAGGTCGAAAAATAATAGATGCAATACGTAATGAAAATGATAAAAAGATAATATTCAATGAACTGAAGGAATGACATAAAGTCATCTGTGTGAATTGAAGAATACTGAGATTGAGAAACACCCTCAATTAGGTAGTTAGGCAGAAACAAGTCATCAGTATACTAATGCCGACGCAGCAAAATAATAGGAAGAACTGAGCGAAAAATTATATAGCATTCCAGGGGCCATTGAAGGATGGAAAGGAAGAAAGAGCCTATCTTTCTTTTAGACTTGGAGTGACAGAGATATTGAATCCTGTGCCTACTCTGTGGTATTAATAAAGTATTATTAAAGTATTTTGATATTACGAAATATATTACCGAAACGAGTAATAAACATTTCAAAATTAAACAATGTGTTTACGCTATTTTTTAATTATTATTTATTTGGGGAAATACTATAAATTTAGCTTGACAACATCGCAAACGCGTTAAGTGCTTCCTATCAAGAATTGTTCAGAGTAGTACCAATTTGTCTTCTTTACGGGAAAATCGATATTTTCGGTATTCACAAAATAATAGTATATTGTGTATTTAGGTGGAAAAGTGACACATTCTCGGCCGACGGTGTAAGTTGACGGGCGAGGCGTAGCCGAGGCCGGCAAATACCGAAGGCCAAGAATGTGCTTTTCCACCGAAATACACATACTATTTTTTCTGAGATCGGTTAAGTACCTGTTAAATGTTTGGCTTTTAGTTCCAATTATTCAGCAATACGAGAATCACTTTCAGAAAAATAATTTTTTTATACCAGAGTGACGGAATCGGGTGTTAATGTTAGCGAGACACAAAACGCACATACGGTTGTCAAGTACTTTTCGTTGTATAAACAAATTCACGCTAGTGGTTGTTGCTCTATCCGGTCTAATCCCATAATTCTTCCTTCCCTTACCTAATTCCCCTTTTTAGGGTGTACCTACAAGGAGAAAATGACAACGACAGCCCATTCGGTAAGTTAAAATACAGTCCACTACTTTACTGAGTTACACGGGAACACTGCTGTTGTTGGTACCGCTCAACGAGATGTTTACATCTAATTGTCTCGAGTACTAGCAGTCTCGCTTTTGTTTTTTGATGTGAATTTTTGAATATTTTAATAGTTATTTTCCTAACAAGTGCGCAAAGTGATACTTTCCCGCACGAAAAAACAGTTAGACGAACGACGCGAAGCGGAGTTCGGATAAGCTTTGAGTGCGGGAAAGAAACTTTGCGCAAGTGTTAGGAACAATATTTTTTCTACGAGTATTTTAAAAAAGTAGACTTTGAATTGTTAAAATATTAGAAAAATCAATCAAATCAAAATCTTCAAAAATTGTTTGAAATTTATTGGAATTCCTCAAAATGTCTTTTAAATTAAATCCCCAAAAATCTTTTAACATCTTCTGGAATTTCTAAAATACCAGCTAAAATGTTTTCATGAGAGTCACTCAAATATATCAAAAATTCTACAAATTCCTAGCAGTACAGGCTGGTCCAATTTGGACACCTTTGATAGGAAACATCATGTTAGCTAAGCGCTAGTTTCAACTAAATACCTTCATTTTGAATATTAGTTTATTCAGAAACCATCAAAACATTGAAAAATCAAGTATAACTATGGTAATTATGCATAACAAAAACGAGTGCGCAAAGAGTTTCCGTGCGCAAAGTTCAACTTTGCGCACGCAAATGAGTGTGCAAAGTGATTACTTTGCGCACGCAAGTAGAAAAAATTATTTTCTTACATGGAATACTAATCTTTGCAAGGTTATTGATCAAATGAAAGTCATTGTATATTGAGTTATGTACTTCCAAGGGTATTTTTCTACGAAAATTCAGTAAGTTCCATTGTTTATTAACGGGGTCCAGATTTCCATACCGTCAAGAATATTTTGTATTAAATCAACATACCTACTTGAATTAAATTGCATGGGAGTCCGTACGTGAAAGTTTAGTTTTTAGTTCTCTGGTATTCCATTTGAGGATGTTCTAATTATAAGGTCCAGCGTAGTAGGTACAGCAGATGCAAGTTAATTTTTTTATTTATTACAAGAACTGTTATCTGTTATGTGAATAAAGAGGAATTTAGAGAAATCAAAAAAAAAAATATATATATTTCAGATATACGAAAAATTACAGTTACTTTGAAATATTGCACATCAAGGGCGTCGTTTCCTTTATCTTCCATTGGATCTCCAGCCGGAAACAATAATACTCTTTCCCCATTCTTGTCACGCATGGACACTAAACTATCCACAATTTTCACGAGCAAATCATCAATCCTCATCAGGGTCATCATGGGCATGAAGTCTTCGGTATGCAGAATTGAACTGTTCCAAAAATATAAACACCAATACCGTGTGTGGTCCCAGCCTAAAGTAATAGGGCGTGAAGCCCTTCCAAAGTGCATGGATTCCTTCGTTTTTTACAATTCCAGCCATAACCTGTATCGCTCCAGGCTTCTTTTCGCCAGGAACTGTTTTCAAATTTTGAATTCTCGTTTTTGCAATGTCCACAGGCATACTGGCTATAGTGGTTATCAGACCAGAGATCATCGATGCACAAAAATGCAATAAGATTCCATCCCGGAAATATCCAGTTTCTTTGAGATTTTGTTTGGCTTGAGAGTACGTTGCTAATTGGGCAGCATTGACAACCTAAAAATGTATAATTACATTTAAACTGTAACTAATCGAATTTGAAAGTGGAAATTTCCAATGACATATTAACACAGATAGACATTACAGTAAACAAAATTATTTCACGCCAACATCTAGAGGCGATTTTCAGTCTGGAATGATTATTATTTGGTTTTAACCAATGCATTTCCACTGTCGCGTAATAGGAGAAGTTGTGACGTCACAAATCAGCTGATTTGTTTTTGGCATTTACGTCATTGCATTAACTACTTATAACCGATTTTAATCCAGCTTTGGACTTGGTTTAATCTTTTGCCTACAGCATTTAGATGCTAGTGTTGTATACACTCACTGCAATTCACCATGTTTAGATCATCCCGAAAGAAGATATCTTCGATAAACGAGACTAACGAGAGATTTCGCTCCATTTTTTGTACCTGAACAAGAAACCATTGTTGAAACAAAAAAAAAAAAAAAAAATAATAAACATAACCCTACACTGCTAAAACCAAATCATTTCAGCGGTCAGTTCCTTGGGTTATGATTTTTGAGTGGTGGGGGGTTATGACGTCACACTTGGCTATCAAAGTTGTCAACCAGAAGAATAACCACGGTATTTGAAGATGAATAATCATTCCAGGCTGAAAATTGCCTTAGAAGAGCAATCCACCACCGGTGTATCCCCTCCAATTTGGTTGCCAAATTGTTAGGGAAACGGGTGTTATCGAGGTAGCATTGGATCAAGTAGTTATCAACAAAAGAGTTAATATAGGTACTTTCTTTATTGGGTTTTTTTTGATAAGGCTCTAACTAAAAAAAAAAAAGATAATTCTTACCATAGCTCTTCCCATTGTTGGCACAGCTCCCTTAAACCACGTAGGTAATCCTTCTTCTCTTGCCATTCGAATTAGCGCATCTACAACGTTTTTATAGTTCCGTCTTTGATCGGGAGGAAGTCTACCATCAGACGTCATCCTGATAAGAGCAACGTCAGCAGGAGTACCGACAAATGCACCAGCAACTCCGGCTAACATAGCAATGCTGGCTTTGATGAAGAAATTTGGCGGTTTGTCTCCGAAAGTTAGCAAGTCAAACAGCCACGTGTAAATTCCTGAAAAAAACATTAATTAATTCTTGTAACCATCATTCGAATTCATCTTTACAGTGCTTGATATGCATGATATTAACAAATTTGAACTAAAAAATTTTTGAACATGAGAAAATATTGCATGTAATAGGCTGCAAGCTGCAAACTAGGGATATTGATATTTATAATAGTTATGTTACACAGTGATTACGATGAAAGTACACTGAGAAAAAAAATTAAGATTTTTGTTACTCTACATATGGTTTCTGCAAAATTGAATAATGATTAATCCAGTAGGTCACTATATAGTGACAACCATTTACAGTAAATCATTTTCAAAATATCGCTTCATATTCAGAATTTGCATGGATTATAAATAAATCCAAAATTGATTATTACGAGCTGATTGAATAATAAGCAAACCGTCTATATATCTTTTAAAAATATTATCAGCTTCGTTATAAACTACGCTGATTCGTAATAAATCAAATTATGTCTACTGTTAAAATCAAATCAAGTTAACGAAATGGAAATAATCGAAAACATTTAATAAAAGTGTAAAGTTTACTCGAAAATAAGTTTTACTAATTGAAAGTTATTATTGAGTGATAGCTACTCAAAGTTTACTAGAGCGGAAGCCGAAGCCGATTGTCGGCCATTTTTGATAGTTGCGCCGTGTGGTATGTTTGTGAGTTGGTGTTGATCGTTGAGCTGAATAGGTTTGAAATATAAAAAATGAAGCTAAAATCTTCATTAGAAATTTTTTTGAAAGAAGCTGAGCTTTTTAACGACTGTGTGCGGGAACAGTTAGAAGGTAAGCAGAAATTTTTATTATAGGTACAGTAAAAAGTTTTTATTCCCACGTCATATAGGTAGGTATATGCTGCATTTACGATCTTGAAACGTTTCGGGAGCTAGTCTCTGATGACGAAACGTTCAAACTTATCTTTCCTGTCGTTGGAAATAGACTTGAAATAAAAGGACAACTAAGAAAATGTGAAGCATCTACATCAAATATTAGTAATATTACTGATGGGGCTATCATCGAAGCTCACTTTGACATCAATGATCAGGACACCACATCACTCGAGAGGGAAATTGAGGATGATTCCTCCAATTTGAGGTTAGTGTAATTTTTTATTTTTCAATTTAATTACCTACTATGCCTATTCAAATTGTATAATAAATATATTATTCTTGGTATATTCTTCAAATTTGAACAAACTGATTGTAATCATATAAGGTTTGTTTATGAGGCGTCAAAAAACAGTGTCAGGGCCAATGAAATCGTTGTAAAACAAGATGATAATTGTTTGAAACAAACCTCAAGTGACTTCAATCAGTTTGTTCAGATCGAAAAAATACCTCTTATTGCCCATAATATTCAGTTCTTATTTCAGTTATTCATCACCGGTTTTTCCTCCAACAACTTCAACATCACGTCAGGTCTCTGAAAATTCATTAGTGGTTTCAGCAGCTCCTACTGTAAATGTGTAAGCTTCTTTTTCATTTTTGTTATGATGCGTTGTCATAGAGTTTTTGTTAATTTAATGTTTTTGTTTTCTGTTCAATAAATTTGATACAGTAATTTGGGTATTTTTTTTTGTGAGCTCCTCCCTCCCCGCACCCATCCCGTATACGTTTATTAGTGAAAAATCAGCATGACTACAAATGTCGACTATAGTAGTCTAATTATTACCTAATGATTGAATAATTACAAATCAGTTTCTTTATTTATCACACTACAAATTAAATAATATTTTATCAAGTTGATTTATTATTAATATTTCTAATTCCAGGTAACTCAAAACTATGATAGGTTTAAGAAAACACCAATTTGATTATGTCGGATTTTAAATGTAATTTTGAGTCGTTATTATTCAATTTGGGTAATAAAAATTCAACAGTTTTCTCAGTGTAACATATTTTGATGTTATATAAGATATATATACAGGGTGGTCCTCCGGGAATGACATCGATTGCTTATGGAAAATTGATTTGATTTTAATTAATTTTGGAAAGTATTAAGGGCGGAAATAAAAAATAAAAAAAATATAGAAATTATAATTTTTTTTCGAAAGAAAATAAAAAAGATCTTAGGAGGCTATGTTTTGGTATTTAGGCATAACTTTTAATTCCATACAAGTTTTCTCTATAACATTTTGCTGAATTTTCCAAAATAAGGGTACTTCAGAGTATAATTCTGATATTGTTTGACCTACCCTGTATGCTGTTTGACTTGCAACCATTCTAAGTGCACCTAATATGATTATCAGACATGCACCAACTTTTGGCCATGTTTCTATTTGGGTTGTGCTATTACTAAAAAAATTTCCCATATGTTGCACACTTAAAAAATCACACTGTATATATATACAGGGTGGTCCTCCGGGAATGACATCGATTGCTTATGGGAAAACTGTGAAAGGTAAAAATTTGAAAATTTGGCAACATAGCAATGTCGATGGGGGACATCCAGGTAAAATATTTTCAAGATGGCGGCATTTCCGGTCATACCGGAAGTTGATACCAACTGGGTTATTTTAAATAGAACACCCCGTATATTAATGTATTTTTGGATTCTAAGGAAAATTCTAAATAAATTTCATGTACGATGTCCTATACCTAAGTCTAACCGTTTTTGACATATGTAAGTTTTTATGTAAATAATTACGTTTGCAGACCCTAAAATAATTGTCAATTTTTCCTATAAGGAAGCCTTTATTCTTTGATTGAACCTTGATTCCTTGTTGAAAAGGACCTATTTTATTAGATTTTCATTATGTTTTGATAACTTTTAATACAGGGTGCTTAAAAAATAAGATTAATAATAAAGTTGAGAAAACTTCCAAAAATCAATTTTTTCAAATGGAAACCCCAAAATTTTATAATTTTATCTTGGTAAGCATTAAAAATAAAGGTAAGTTTGTGTAAGGTTATCTATTCCGAAAATGTTTAGTTTTCGAAATATTGCCAATTTAATATTTTTATATGGCGATTTTGCTCTAAAAATAATAACTGAACGCACCCTTGCGCATGACAGAATGTCAAGCAGAACGTGCATGTCCTTGTCACAAAAATTGAAATAATTTTCGATAATAATCATGCCGGGAAGATTAAATTATACAAATGAAGATTATTTAAATTTATTTATTATTTATGGAGAATGTAATAAAGTTATTTCAAGAACATGTGATACATTTGCGAACCGATATCCGCAGAAACAGAAACCAAGTGAAAAAACTGTTAAAAGAATTTTAGAAAACTTCAAGAACTTTGGATCCGTCAAAGCTAAAGTACATAGAAATAAACCAGTTGTTAACAATGAAAAAAGTTACAAAAATTATTTTAATAAATGTTCAAATTGATGGCCTTGAACTTCGAGACATTTTTCGCACCTACGAAGGAATTCTTCATGGGTGGCTCTTCTTATTGACTGAGGATTAAGGCCTTCAAATGCTGTTCTGACTCGCCGCTTGCAGTCTTCCATGGTGGTTAATGCGGTGTTATAAACTCTATTTTTGACTGTTCCCCAAATGAAAAAGTCGAGTACTGTTAGGTCGGGGGAGCGAGGTGGCCAAAGATGTGGCCCATCGTTGGCTATCCATTGGTCATAAAACAAGTTTTGCAAATGGTTGTTGACTAAATGACCATTATGTGGAGGCGCCCCATCATGTTGATAAAATAGATTTCTACGGTCGGCTAGTGGCAAGTTGTCTAAATAGTTGACTTCAAAATTTCTAATGATGTTGAGATAGCGCTCACCTATAAGTGAAAGAATGGATTTTATATCTAGAAGGCTTCAAAAATAGGTATAGTTTTTCCAAAGTCACTTGGAACAAGGTAACAACTGGTAGCTGACTGGTCACTGAACATTCTCATAAGAAATGTACTGCCACTAGTCTGCCACCAGTTATGATCTATTTTTACCTTGTTCCAAGTGACTTTGGTAATACTATAGCTCACCATTTAGATTTTCTTGATGGAATTCTAGTGCCACGACCCCGTCATTTCTTATGGCACAATAAACGTTAAACTGCCACAATTCTTGAAAATTTAATTCTCTAAATAGATGTAGGTTTGAGTCGCTCCAATAATGCGAATTGTGTCGATTGAACATCCCGTTTTTTGTGAATTTAACTTCGTCCGACCAAATAATATTATCCAAAAAAAACGCATTTTCTTGTGACCGAATTAACATGAAATCACAGAACTCCACTCTTCTTGGAAAATCAGTCTCTTTTAAATGTTGTACTGTAGATAATGCGTATGGATGAAACTTATGTTTCCATAAAATTCTTAGAACTGATGTTTTAGATAATCCTGATTCTAATGCTACTTGCCTTGTAGATATTGTTGGATTTACGGCAAAATATCCCAAAATTGCGATTTCAATATTTTCATTGTTAACAACTGGTTTATTTCTATGTACTTTAGCTTTGACAGATCCAAAGTTCTTGAAGTTTTCTAAAATTCTTTTAACAGTTTTTTCACGTGGTTTCTGTTTCTGCGGATATCGGTTCGCAAATGTATCACATGTTCTTGAAATAACTTTATTACATCAATCAAAGAATAAAGGCTTCCGTATAGGAAAAATTGACAATTAATTATTTTAGGGTCTGCAAACGTAATTTTTTACATAAAAACTTAAATATGTCAAAAACGGTTAGACTTAGGTATAGGACATCGTACATGAAATGTATTTAGAATTTTCCTTATAATCCAAAAATACAATAATATACGGGATGTTCTATTTAAAATAACCGAGTTGGCATCAACTTCCGGTATGACCGGAAATGCCGCCATCTTGAAAATATTTTACCTGGATGTCCCCCATCGACATTGCTATTTTGCCAAATTTTCAAATTTTTACCTTTCACAGTTTTCCCATAAGCAATCGATGTCATTCCCGGAGGACCACCCTGTATATATATACAGTGTGATTTTTTAAGTGTGCAACATATGGAAAATTTTTTTAGTAATAGCACAACCCAAATACAAACATGGCCAAAAGTTGGTGCATGTCTGATAATCATATTAGGTGCACTTAGAGCGGTTGCAAGTCAAACAGCATACAGGGTAGGTCAAACAATATCAGAATTATACTGTGAAGTACCCTTATTTTGGAAAATTCAACAAAATGTTATAGAGGAAACTTGTTTGGAATTAAAAGTTATGCCTAAATACCAAAACATAGCCTCCTAAGGATTGACCACCCTTCTAAATTTTTTATTTTTCAACCGATTCGATTCATTTTTTTTCTGTCTTGTAACTACTCGAATTTGGCACTTATTAGGCTCATAATTTTATTTCTACGGCTGCACCGGTTTACAAGGTGTCCACATTTATAGGCTCAAATTTCAATAAGTACTATTGGGGATTTTTTTTAGAAAAGATCTGATAGCAGATTCTTGTTTAGAATAGTCTAAAACCCTAATGTACGAATTTTTGTTCCAATAGGATATACAGGGTGATCACAACAAATTTTCAAAATTTAATGGACCAAACCGAAAAATTTTCATATTTTGAGGCCTTGAGAACAACAAAACTTGATACAACATAGTTTTAGAACATCCTTAACTAAAACTTGTAGTAAGCTTGTCTCAAAATATAACATTTTTGTGGTTGGATTCATTAAAATGAGAAAATTTGTTGTCATCACCCTGTATCGTATTGGAGCAAAAATTAGTACATTTGCGTTTTAGACCATTCTAAACAAGAATCTGCTATCAGATTTTTTCTAAAGAAATCCCTAATAGTACTTATTGAAATTTGAGCCTATAAATGTAGACACCCTGTACACCAGTACAGCCGCAGAAATGAAATTATGAGCCTAATAAGTTCCAAATTCGAGTAGCTATAAGTCAAAAAAAAATTGATTTGAATCGGTTGAAAAATAAAAATTTTACAAGGGTGGTCAGTCGTTAAGCGGGACACACTGTATATAGTAGTAAATTCTCGACCTTACTAATTAACAACAGGGAGTAGTATCGGGTAGCGGTCTGTATAGTAGAAAAAACTCAATTGCTTTTAATTCTCAATATATCGTCGATATATTTCAACTTCATCAGGAGAGAAACTACAAAAATTAATGAAGCTATTAACATAAAATAATTAAATAATAAAGTAGACTACTTACAAGTTTGGAGTCATACAAAGGTTGTTGACAAAACACAATTAAAACAATGTAAAACAAATACAACAATCAACATATTAAAAACAGTGGTAGGTACCTAAGTTATCGTTCAAAAATCTCAATTACGACTGACAAGCATAAAAATTCCTTAATAATAAATAATCCAACTATTTCACTGAAAAAGTAGAATAACAGACAGTGGCTGCGGTATGTTTAAAAACTAGTGGACAATAACACAATTTATAATTTATTTAAAATGTTGCAGTAAATATTACTCAAGTTACTGGTATCAGACTTGTAATTTATTGCATCTTTACAATTCTTAATGTAATACATTTCCAAAAATAAGCGACCCTTATAGTTGCTCTTATGTTCCAATATCCTTACACCATCATAGTTAAATTGATGCCCTGTCTTCAGATAATGATGAACAGCTGCACATGAATTTTTCCCCGTTCGACAATCACTTTTGTGTTGCGTTATTCGCTGTTTTAGCCACTGCGAGGTCTGTCCAATGTAGCTACCTTGACAAGCCAAACAGGGTAGCTCATATATGATGTTATTGTTATAGAGTAGCGGCGTTTTTTGTTTAATTTTTGAAAACAGATTGCGATTGCTCAATGTATTGTATTTCGCAATTTCTATGTTTGGAAATTCTTTGAAAAGAGACACTATGGAATGCGTTTGATTACTGACATAAGGTAGCTTTCTATATTTGATCTGGTTGTTATTCTGTTGTTCTGTAGGGCCATCAAAAATATTCGAATTATAAATCAACTTTTTTAGTATGTGTTTAGAATAACCATTGTTTAAAAAAATATCAAACAGTTTTCCCAAATTAGCTTGTAGAAAACTTTCATGGCTGATATGCGTGACCCTATTTTTCATGGCAATGACAGTGTTGTATTTTTGGTTTGTAGGATGGTTAGATGAAAATTTTAGGTATCTGCCTGAGGCTGTTGGTTTTTGATACCAATCAAGTATGACTCTGTTATCATTAGTTCTAATCACCCTGGTGTCCAGAAACGGGACGCTTCAGTTCGACTCTTCCTCCACAGTGAATTGTAAATTTTTATGGAAAGAATTAAAAATCGTTAAAGTTCTCTGGACAAAGCCGGACGGTACAGCACAGATGATATCATCAACGTACTTATAAATAAAAGGGAAATCGAAAGGTAACAAGGGAATTACATTATCAAATAGATTGACAACACCTATTTCAGCTTTAATAATGAATTTTACAGACAAATTTTTGGAACTCCTATGGGGTTGCCCATAAGTCCGATTCTGGCAACAATCATTTTGGATGATATAAATAATATAAATACACTTATGAAAGATATCCCAGAGGAAATTAAATAGAAACAATAACTTTAGAACATGTCCTGAGAATTGACGTCTGGGGTACAATTTACCTACACCACGCAGGTTTACGAAGGCTAAAACTCATTACTTTCACAACAGCCCATTAACCGAAATTAGGACAACAAAAAAATAGTCTTGATGTGTAAGCCCAACCCCAACTTGATCGAAATGAGAAATTTACATTGTAATGCAAAAATGCCGCGCAGAATGAGAAAACCCTAATTATCCAGCTTGAAGTTTAAATGCTCCGCTGAAACGCCCGCTTGTCTACCTAGTAATCAACACCTTAATTATTTTTTAATTGAAGCATTTTTATTCACCGAGGGATCTTGTTTCTGGGATAACGTTTCCGGAATTATATATTTTTTTGTTAATTTATCCTTGTTCCCTTGAAAATCCTTGGGTAATTCTTCATCTAGTCGCTGCCATCGACAATAACCAAATTACATAACAATAACGCCTTTCTAAGAAAACATTTGCAATTATAATAAAAGATTTTTTGCATTTCTACTTAAAAATTTTCTGATGAGAAGCAAAATTCCATTACAAACTAGAATAGAGTACGTCTACTATGCGTCTGAACTCTAAAATACACTATCAAAAGGAAAACCACTGAAATAGAATTACGTTACAAGAATGTCAAATATCTCCGAGGCACAAATCTTAAAAGGGATTTCGTGTAGGGGATGAGAGAAGAAGTTGACTGGATTTACCACAACAGTTGAAGCTCTTGACAAAGAAATTTATTGATTGAGAGCCTATTTATTTATTGGAAAAGCTCACCCAGTCGAGTTGTGGTATACGTGGCTTGCCGCATTATTCCCGCTGAAAGTCCATTATAAAGTGGTAAAATTCCCTCATTTCTTACAACATCTAATAAAACATGTAAGGAAGTTTTATGTTGTTTTGTTCTTCCTCCTTGACCAGACATTTGCATTCTATTTTTGAGTAAATCCAATGGTTGAACAAAACATGTTGCACAACATCCTATAATGATCAAATTAAAATTATCTGAATTTGACTAGATTATAGGTTCTTGCCTGCAGATCCTCCAAATAAAAATTTGTACCCATTGGGAATTTGTATTTGTTTTTTTTGCGAAGCCATGTGTAAATTTTTTATTTTATTTTTTTATTGTAATATTCCACTGCGAATTTTGAAAAAGGCTCTGCTGTTTAGTTATTCATGTAAAGTTTGAACTGGAATTTTGATTTTTTTGATGAAATGAACGAATTTAATGAGAGAGGAATTATCCTCTTATTTTGACTGGAAATTTGACTGAATAAATCAAAAGTTTGACAACGTCATGGCGATTACCAGAAGTTGACTGGTATACATTTATCTAATGTTTACATGAAGGTCCCTATGCTAAGCATCCGTACGGACGATAAACTTTAACTATAGGGTGGATAAATAATGTTGAGTTAAGTGGAGTAATCGATATAGCTTTTTAATACACTACAAAGGAAAAAAAAATATCAATTATAACAACAAAAACAAACACTCAGCACAGGCATGCGAATAGAATATGAACCTGTGTGATTAGTTCAGGAGAATATTACAGAGGAAAATTATTCATTATGCTCTGATGTCCAAGCAAGCTTAGAAAAATTTTTTGCATTTGCATTTTCAACATGACAATGCAAAATGTTATAAAACTTTGGTCCCAAGTAGTTAATTGATTTCTTCTTGAACTCAATATAACATCTAGAAACAATCAAATGTCTATTTACATTTATTCGAGTATTATAGACATGATCTATAGGATGAGGATGTTTAATTCTTTCATAAGTATACATATAAAAACAAACTGTATAATAGAATAATGTTCTTATGTTCAAAATCGTGTTATTGTGGAGAAGATGAGAAGGATATAATTTTTTTTTTTTTCTAAACATAATTTTTGGTTTTCTATTCTGAATAGTTTGTAGGAGTTTTAGGGAGTTGTTGGTACATACTTCCCCAGACCAAAATTTCACACCGTAGAATTGATTCAGCCAGACTTTGATACAGACTTGTTAACATTTTTATATTTAATAGTTGTTCTAAAGAATAAAATTTATGAATTAAGTATTCCAATTTTTGTGTTACATAGGCAACATGTAAATCCCATTTTAGATATTGATCAATTACTATGCCAAGATATTGTTGTGTGGTCGATTTAGGTACTTCGATTTTAGGAAAGGAAATGTAATCAGTTTTTTTTTTCACATTTAATGATTAATTGTGGACATCAAGCCATTTTTTCACAATCTCAACACCACTCTGTGCATTTTATTCACAGTATCACAGTATATCGTCGGCATATGATATGATTTTACCATTAATATTCAAGTTGGCTATTGATTTTATATAGAGATTAAACAGAATGGAACCCAAAACAGTGCCCTGAGGGACTCCAATTTTTATGATAAAAGGATCACTCAAGGTGTTACGTATCTTAACCTGTTGTTTACTTGGCAGCAAGATAGTTCTCGAAGACTTTTAAAACAACGCCTCTCACTCCGTTCTGTTGAAGAACATTAAGGAGCTTTTTATGAGGCACTGTGTCGAAGGCTTTTGCTAAGTCTAAAAACATGGCCAAGCATCGGTCGGCATCCAATTTGTTTCTCACTTCCTCTACCAAATGGTAACAGCGTCGCTGTTAGAAGTTTTTTTTTTCAGGTAATGACCAACGTGAATTCAGGGACCACTTCCTTCTATACAATACAATGTTCTAGTGGGGTCGGATGTTACCATTTTGCGTGCATTTTGCGAATATCAGATTTTCCAGCAGATATTTGGAAACTTTATGAATTGAGAGTCAAATCATAGTAAACCAGTGCCCAGTTTTGCGGGGCCAATCACGAACGGGTTTCGGTGTTCTTGTGAAAAAACTAGAATCTCTTCACCAGATCATAATAATTTTCGAATAATTTATGGTGTTTTCTTTTGGCCTATCCGGATACTATCCCTTAGTTAAATTTTTCGAGATAATTCTTAACGGGTTGTTTGGAGCAAATATTGCACCAAGCTAATTGTCCTTGGTACCTACACCACGAACTTTGAAATTCTTTCCAACTCATTTATATACGATCGGTTAATATAACCTACAGAACGTAACTAGTGTTACACGTAAATAACCAAATGGCGCTCACGTTGGAAAAGTTAGCAGGCAAAGAGAAACCTTCTACTAGGAGCAGCCCGCCACCTGTAAAAAAGTCAATTACAGCGTCGATTTCAACCCAGACCGATAGTGAAGAGACATCCCCTGTTACGCAAGTGGTCATTGATTCCCGAGTCTATTCCCCACCTCAGAATTCCGCCCTAAAAGAAAACTGGCATTATGTGGTAGTGTCAAAAATCCCCCATCCTTTTACAGCAAAACAGCTTGCTCATTTTGTAAAGGAAAAACTTGGAACCACGGAGTTTATCAGATGCTTTCCAATGCTCCAAAATAAAGACTGCTCTCACACTGATTTCAAAGTTGGTGTTCAAAACAAAAATCACCTAAAGCAGCTTTTGGACAGAAGCATGTGGCCTCCAGGTACGGGTATAGAGACTGCTAATTCATCTGCAACACTTTTAAAGGCATCGCCACCGTCGGCAGCAATTACAGTAGATCCACAGCATTAGTCTCATCACCATTTCAAACCCAACACTGCGGAGGGCCGAAGTAGACCACTAAACTCTGACTCAACCCCGATTAACCCGACTAAGGATGATAAAACTATCAGGATTGGTTCTGACAGGGAGGCTATAGCTGTTTCTAAGTCCCTGGCACTAGACAGCACAAAAATTGTTATGGATACAAGTAGAAAAAAAGATGAATCAATCATGGACCCGATGACTCCACCCATTTTGCGATTATCGCGAGCTTCCGATACAGCTGATGGTCGATATTTATTGGCTAGACTAAGAGACCCTGCCATTCTTAAAGCTCTTAGGCTATTCCTGGCTTATCTCCATGACCAACCATCCACCGTGTGATTTGATGGGCACATTAACACCAGCATCAAATTAATGTTAGCTTCGGAGGGACTTCCTAGTGACTTGGACTCATTGCGGAAGTTATATTTCCGTTTCCACAACGCGTATGGCATTGGTCTGGCTGAAGTTGACGCTGATCTCTCCGCCTTCAGGTCTTACTTCTCGTCCGAGAAACTTCTCCGGTTACAGAATATTAGGGAAAGTCAGAGCAAATATTTTTCTAGTGGCTCTCCACGTAATAATAAAAAATTTTAGATAAGGTGACGCGACCAGAGGATCAAGCACCCTCTGTAAGGTTGGACGATGGCAAGCTTAGTGTATTTCTTATTAATATTCAGTCCTTAAGACACAAAACAGATGAATTATTTCTTTTATTAGAAGAGCTTAATTTTCCAGAAATCATCGCCATTGCTGAACACTGGTTAAATATAGATGAACCTGTGTTTGTCAAAAATTACACCTCAATAGCTAGATTTAATCGAAGTAATTTATCTCACGGAGGCACTATGATAATGTCCACTAATAATGACTTTACGGCAATAACCAAGTTTGATAATTTATTATCGGAAAAAATATTTGAATTTTCCATCGTCTCTCATAGTGGCTTTGACCTTTATATTGTTTGTTTTTATCGATCACCGGACACAGACGCGCACATGTTTTGTCGGAATTTGCTGAGCTTGCTTGACTCCTTGCCCTTGAATTGCAAAATAATTTTATGTGGTGACTATAATATAAATTTTTTCTGTGTGTGCGCTGCTCAAGAATCTCTCCAGTCCATTTTCGACTCCTTTGGGATTGTGATGCATGTAAACTCTCCAACCAGAATAACCAAAACTAGTTCTACTACCATTGACTATGTCGCTTCATCTTTTGATCCAGAATTGGTCAACTGTTCTATTTTTAGTGCAGGGTTTTCTGACCACGAAGCAGTATTAACGAATTTCTCATTGAATTCCTTACGTAAGGGTGCTTCCCGCAAATTGGGCAGAATATTTTCGGATGGAAATTTTTTAAATTTCAGTCAACTTTGCTTATCAGTTGACTGGGTCGTCCACTCAGATGATGTTGACTCCGAGTTCTCTAGATTCATAAATACCTTATCTGACCTGGCGATTAAATCCTTTCCTCTCAGACCCATCAAAGTCAAACGGCATAAACCATGGTCCACTAGCGGCTTGCGTACTTCTGGAAAAAATTTGCGATCCTTGTCTCATCTAAAAAAATTCTCGGATAGCGTCTTCTTCAATGATTACGTAAAATTATACCGAAAAGTCTATCAGAAAACCATAAAAGCCGCCAAAGACATTTATTATAATAGGAGGCTGGCAAACTCCAAAAATGTTGCAAAAGAAACATGGTCAATTGTTAATAACTTGAGGAATAAGGCTTCTTCATCTAGCAAAATTCCTACTTCACCTGAGATCCTTAACGATTACTTTGTTGATGTGGCTAAGAATTTAGTGAATACCTTAACTCCTTCCCAGGACCCACTTTCATATCTCCCGAATGCTAAGGTGAACTTACACAGTTTCTTCTTCACGCCTGTAGTAGTTCCAGAGCTTCGCAGTACAATCAAAGATATTAAAAACAAATCTTCGTCTGGGACTGATGGACTCACCCTCAAAATGTTCTCTAATCTTCCTGATGGCACATTAAAACATCTTACTCTTCTGATCAACAAGTCGTTTCTAAATGGAGCTTTTCCAAACTGTCTTAAGATGGCGATAATTATCCCACTGCATAAGGGAGGTGATAAGGAGCTACCTTCAAACTATCGCCCCATTGCACTCCTTCCTACGCTATCAAAGATCATAGAAAGATTGGTTAAAAAGAAGCTTCTATCATTTCTCTCTAAATATAATATTCTAACTACCAGTCAATTCAGTTTCCTAAGTAACAAATGTACTAATGATGCAATGTTTTCCCTTTTCAATAATGTATACTCCAGCCTGAACTGCCACCACTCTACAGCCTCAATTTTCTGTGATTTCTCCAAAGCTTTCGACTGTGTTAATCATAATATCTTAATTACCAAATTACAGTTCTACGGTTTCAGAGCTTGTGAGGGTGGACTCGACCATGTCCTCTTGTAAACCAATTGAATGTGGTGTGCCTCAGGGTTCAGTTCTTGGCCCTATTTTGTTCCTGCTATTTATTCACGACATTGCTAGTCTGGATATTAGCGGCAAAGTTTGTCTCTTCGCAGACGATACTAGTTTCACTTGGAGTAACCCGGATATTACGGAACTCCATAGAACCGTATCTAGTGACTTAATCACCATCAAATCTTGGTGTGACTCAAATCTCCTGTGCCTCAACCTCTCTAAAACCAAAGTTTTATCTTACAGAGCTTCGCTCCAATCTGTAGTACTGGATAACAATACCATGGAGGCCGTTGATTCCGTGAAATTCCTGGGGCTTGTTGTTGATAAATCTCTAAAGTGGGACCTGCATATCGACGCCTTAG